CTGCAGCTTTGCCCCCACAGGGCGATGCGGGAGGTGCCGCCCGGCCAAGGGACGCTCCCAGCGCATCCGGCACTTCTGCCAGAGCGACTTTGGTGAGTGCCAGGGACGGGAAGGGGCTCGGGGCGATGGTGGGGGACATGCCCGGCTCAGGGTGCCCTGTGCTCGCCCCGCAGTCTTCCAGGGCCGGATCCTGGCATGGCGCTTGGTGGGGCAGGAGACGCGCTACGAGGTGGAGGTGAAAACGCCGTATCGGCACCGCTTCCCACTGGTGCCCCGGGAGTACCTGTGGGTGCCCAACACCTGCGGCTGCCCCCCGCTCCGGGAGGGCGGCGAGTACCTGCTCATGGCGCGGCGGCACGTCAACTATGAGCGCACGCTCAACCGCATCCTGCTGCAGGACGACGGCTACGCCCGGCCGTGGACGCCCCGCGAGGACCGGCTGGTGCGGGAGGCAGCCCGGCACTGCCCCCCGCCCAGGCCGCCCTGAGCCCCCCGGCTCCATCGCCTGGGGAGGGGGCGGCCAGCGGGACCCCAAGGGTGAACCCGGGGGCTGGAAACGCTCCTGCCCTGCGCTGAGCCCCGTCCATGGCCATGGAGGCGCTGGGGCCCCCGGGGCCCCCGTCCTGCCCTCCGCCCCGTGCCGGGCATCTCGCCGTCCTTGGGGTCGCTTGGCTGCGGGGGGGTGGAGGAGGGTGGTAATTTATTTTTTGGCAGAAAATAAACCTGTATATCACCTCGCTCGCTGCGTGCCCCTTCCCGCCTGGAGCCGGCCCAGGGCGTCCCATGCCCTCCCCACCCGCGGGTGCCCGGGCAGGGGGTCCCCTCCCGCATCCCCCTGCGGAGCCCCCGGCACAACGCAGCCGCCCGGCAGCGTGTCCCTGTCCCCGAGATGGACACCTGCCAGGCTCTGCCTTTCGAGGTCGGGGACCCGCCGCTTATCTCCCTTCCGGCGGAGGCGAGCGGGTGCCTCCCTGTGCCGGAGCCCCCTCGCCCGTAACCCAACCCGCGGGCGGGTGGGCGCAGCCACGGGGCCCACACGGGGACAGGACGTGCCCGGGGTGCTGCGGGGACGGCGACCCTGGGAGCGTGGCGCTGGGCACCCTGGGGTGCGTCGCCCGCTCGGGGCTCCTGGGGTGGTCTCGGACCCAGCCGGGGCTGGGTTTGGAGCCGGTGCTGGGGAAGGGCTGAGCTCTCCCAGCTCGTGTTGCTGGTGATTGTTCCCAAACTGGGCACAGGGCTGGGGCTGCAGCAGGGGGGTACCTGGGGTGGGTGCCCTGGGGTGCCCCGGGTGGCGGCTGCCAGCCCAGGAGGGTCCTTAGCGCAACGGGTAATTAATCACCAGGAGCCAGAGGTGAGCCCTGGGGGCAGCTGGGGCTCTGTACTGGGCTCCCCAGCTGGTCCCAGTAACGCCTGGGTGCTCTGGAGCACAGGTGGAGGCACCTTGGGGTGATTAGGGCTGGAAAGGTGCCTCCACCCTATAAAAGTGCCCCCTCCCACCCCCCATGGCTGTTTTAGGGCTGCTGGGGGGGTCTGTCCCTGGCTGGGGGGGAGGGTCTGCTGGGTCCTCGGGGGTCCCCGGGGTGGGGCAGCACCCCCAGCTCCAGCAGCTCTTTCGGAGCAAGCAATGCCTGGTAGCCCCGGGGCTGGGGCTCTGCACTGTCACCTTCGGGCGTCCCGTGCTTGGAGTGTCCCTGTCTGGCTGTCCCCGCCATGGCGGATTTGGGGACAGTCACCCCGCACGCAAAGAGACCCCGCAGGGAGAGGAGCGGGGACCTGGGGCTCTCGGCCACCAAGGCTGGGGCTCGCCAGCGGGCCAGGAGCCGGCAGAGAGAAGGGGACCAGGGGGAGCGTTGCCCACTGTGGGGCTGGGACCCCTGGCAGCCTGTCCCGTGTCCCCCCTTGGCACGCGTCACCCCCAGGAAGGGCCGGCTGGCAAAGCTGCGGCTCGAAGGGGAGCAGTGCAGGCCCACGTCTGCTCCCCCCTGCCCCAGGGAAAGGGGTGAGCGCAGCCCCTGGGGCCGATCCCTGCCTGGGGAGGGGGGTGCCCCAGGCTGCACTGACGGGACCCCTCTGTCCCACAGAGCCTGCGAGCCCCCCGCTGCAGCCCTGCTATAGGGGCGCCTACTTCTCGGGGCTCCCTGCGGACGAGCGCCAGGACCTCGCCGCCCCCAGCCTGTGAGTATGCGGGAGGGGGTCCCCGCGGCCCTGCTGCACCGCCGACCCTCTGCCTTCCTCCGGCCAGGCTGGTCCCCGCGGCCCCGGCGCCCGGCAGGGAAGGTCCCCGGAAGACCCGCAGCACGCTGGAGCGCAGCCTGGTCCTGGAGCTGGTGAGCTGGGGGGGCTGGGGGGGCTGCGGCCCCGGGGCCAGGGTCTGACTCTGTTCCCCGCCCTGCAGGAGGGGACCCTCGTCTGCTCCTCCATGCTCGCCGGCTGGCAGCGCGGTGCCGCGGCCACCTTCACCACGGTCTTCCAGGGAGACTCCTACGAGGTGGGCGCCCATGTGCTGGCGGTGGGACAGCGGGGTGCTGGGTCCCCGGGGCTGTGGCTCAGGGCTGTGAAGAGCCACGGTGTCCACGTGTCCTCTGTGCCTCTGCCCTTCCCTAGCAGCCGGAGGAGAAGTGGGCCCCTGGGGCTGAAATCCCAGGGGAGAGGGTGGCCGAGAGACCCCTGGGATCCTGCTCAGGGCGCTGGCCCTCCTCTTGGGGGTCACCTTGATGTCAGGACATGGGTGCTGGTGTTTTGGTCCTTTTCTGGGGCTGCCTGGAGATGCTCTTCCCTTCCAGGTCCACGTGAAGCTGCGTCCCCACGTGCAGCAGTTCCTGGAGAGCCTCTCGAAGACCTACGAGGTACCTGGAGCCCCTGTGTTCCCCGGGGTCTGCGGAGAGCCGGCGGGGCGCCGCTGCTGCGGCGGGGCGGGGGGGACTCGGGCAGCCTGCGCAGGGACCTCCGCCTGCTCCCCCAGATCTTCATCTTCACAACCGCGAAGCAGGACTACGCCAAGAAGGTCCTGGATGTGCTGGACCCCAAGAAGAAGCTGATCAGGTGATGGCCTTGGTGAAACCCCGCTGGGGACCTCCCCTGTGGCAGGGACCGGTCCCCACGGGCTCTGCCTCCCCCTCCAGGCACTGCCTCTCCCAGCGGGACTGCCTCTGCGCCCGGGGCTGCTACTGGAAGGACCTGACCCGCCTGGGCAGGGACCTGGCCAAGACGGTGGCCTTGGACCACACCATCCAGGGCTTCCCCACCCAGGTACCGGCAGCACCGGGGCGGTGGTTTGGGTGCACCGGGAGCACCACGGCTGCGGCGGCTCCTCCATGGCCAGCGCTCGCCCTCTCTCCCCAGGCTGCCAACTGGATCCCAGTGCCGAGGTGGTGGGGGGACCCGCAGGACAAGGAACTGCTGCGCCTCCTCCCGCTGCTGGGACAGCTCGGCCGGCCGGTGAGGACCGGGGTGCTGGGGAGAGGACGGGTGCCCTGGGCTCCCGGGGCAGGGTGGTGGGACCCCCCCGGGCACAGCCCTCCCCTATCCCCCTCTCTCCCCGCGCAGGATGACGTGCGCACCGAGATCCAGCGGCGCTTCCCACACCGCCGGCTGCCCGCCGAGGACTAGGCTGGCCCGGGCAGAGGGGAGCAGGACGGAGAAAACCCCTCGGAGGGGCCGGCGGGGCTCACACCGCTGCGGGGGAAGCCGCGCTCCAGTGCGTCCGGGCTCTAACTCGTCCCGTGGCGCTGGGCTGGTGGGGGTTTCGGCAAAGCCGTCACCCCCAGGCCTCTCCCTTGGTTTCTGCAACCGCAGGCTGCTGCGCGGGTCCCAGGCTGTCCCCGGGGCGGGGGTCCCACTGGGGAGAGCCCCTGGCCCTCGGCTGCCGCTTGAGGGAGAGCTCCGTCCCGGCTCCCTCCTGCCTGTGCTCTGTAAGGTCCGGCCGAGGGCTGGCTTTGTGGCTGATTACACGCTTGGACAAAGGTCTCGCTCTCTTCTGTAACTCCTCAGCTGTGCAAACACGGGGATGGCACAGCCGGTGGGGGGACAAACCGTCCCCACCCTCCAGTGCTGCAGCCGTGCCCCGGGGCAGCCATGGTCCTGCGGTGGGGAGGCTGAGCCCCGCGCGGTGCTGGTGCCCCCGGGAGGGCCCCAGCTGGCAGCTCTCCCCGTGCCCGTCCCAGCCCTGCCTGGTGCCGCGCTGCGTGCCAGGGCGCAGCTGCTGCTGTGCCGCTGCCAGCCCCAATGGGACAGCGAGGGCCCAGGGCGCTCGTCCCCGCTGCTGTGGAGGGGGGAGCGCAGGGCGGCCGCGGGGTGCCCCAACCCCTGGCACCCCTTTTTTTACAGACGAAAAGCTGCTGGTAAACAAGAGCTGGGGACCGCGCTGTGCAGCAGCGGTGTGGGTCCGGGCTGTCCTCCCTGAGCAGCGGTTTGGAGTCCGGCCACCTCCGCTCTGCCAAAAGCGGCACGGGCTCGCGGCTGAGCGCGCTGGAGGAGCTGGCTGCGGTCACTCGGGTGCAGCTGTTTGGAGAGGAGTCGCATCTCCTCCTCCCCACGGCCCTCCGCGCCTGGGAAAGGGCACGGGGCTCCCAGCTGCGCAGCACGGCCCCTCTGGAAATAGCTCTTCCCAGCAGCGTGCCAGGCCGGGCCCCCCGGCACGGCCCGGGTCCCCGGGGCCTGCAGGGGGACGAGCCAGGAGGAAGGAGGCCACCACCCGTGTCCCTGCCCATGCACGGAGCTGGACACGCGGTGGGATCAGCCCAGGCGCTGCTGGGAAGGGAAGTCACCCTTGGGAGAGGGCTGTCCAGAAAGGCAACAACCTGTTTATTTTGGAATCGGGGTGAGGGCAGCTCTGTCCCAGGCTGGGATCCGGCCACCTGTGTCCATGCAGCCCAGGCCGGTGTCACGCTGTCCTTCCAGCCTGGGGACAGCAGGAGTGACCTTTCACGACGCAAAAGGCCACACGGTACGTGACACAGAGGGTGGCTGAGAGGATCAGGCCCCCGCAGATGAGGACAGGGAGAAGGTCCCCCTGCAGCCCCTCCGCAGGGGGGAAGCCCTGCAGAGGGGAGCAGGAGTGGGCGAGCTCGTCGAAGGTGCGGGCGGGGGGACAGGCCGTGCAGTTGTTGGCCGAAGCGCCCTGGCACGCGTAGCAGGAGGGGTGGCAGCTGGCGCAGACGCGGGCCGCGTTCGTGGCGGCAGCTCTCCGGGTACGGCCGTAGTAGCGCGGAGGGCAGTAGGACAGGCAGGAGTGCTGGTAGGCGTACAAAGAGCTGCCGCACTCTGCGGAGGGACGGTGGCGTGAGCCAGGCTGCGGGGCCAGCTGGGGCTGTGAGCACCGTCCCCTCCTGCCCAAAGACTCACCCTCGCACGCTCCCTGCGCGTCCCGCCTGAGGCACTCGTCCACGGCAGAGGCCGCAAAGCGCCTGGCTGTCATGTCCTCGTCTGTGCCGTGGAGGTGGAGGACGAAGCCGGTCAGCAGACCTGGGGGCAGGAGGGACAGGACTC